GCATAGATGATCTTAGGGAGGTTCTACTGACAAGCATCATGTTTTGCTTCTTGTATTTTACTGTCAAGTACTCTGTCTCATGGCGTCAAACTAACTACTGAGATGGAAAGGTAATCTTTGTGTCCAATTAGAGAAATTGGGAATGGTGGGAAATGACAGTCTTTATCCTAAAGCCCATGCAAAACCCCAGGTACTTTTTTTTTTTTTTTTTTTTTTTTTTTAGGAGAGATTTTTGCTATAGGGTGCATGCACTTGCCAGAGAAGCAGAGAGATAGAAAGTGAGAAATCAACCCCCAGAGGAGATGGCCACATCAAAATCTCCTCTCCTCTATTCTATTCCTGGGACTTTGGGGTAGGCACACACTTGCCCAGAGTGAGTTCAAGCTGCCAGGTCTGGAACTTGAACCATGGTGGACCACGTGGGTGTCTCGTGACACAATCACCACACCATCTGCTGTTAGTAATCCACATACATTTTAAGGACATTTTCCTCCCTTGGGTAAAGTCTCTTCCATGCAGGCATTGCTGACTCCAAATTATCGATGCCATTTGTATAAGCCAAAGAGTATCCTTTGAAGCTAATGTGCTGACCAATGCCAGACAAAGGCAGATTTCTTATCATGAGCCTGTTTTCCTAAATTAACTCCTTCCAGCTTGGTCTCTGTTATCCTAGTCCTTACTATTCTGTTCAGACAGAATATTTCCCTGCCCTACTACTAGTTTTCCTTTGAAAAAAGTATGTACCCATTAATCTAGTCATTCAGATATTAAGTGTATGCCACGTGTGTGTAATGTGTGCATACTACTCTAGCTGTTGTGTTGTGATATCCTACATGGGCAAAGGAGTGAAAACAGAGATCTCAGAGTAAAATATGGCAGAAATGCATGGAGTAAATGATGATGATTCACACCATGGTGGACTCAGTGGAAGCAATGAGAAAGGTTGGATCCCAGAGGTAAAGTTAACAGTATTTGCTAATAAAATTAATATAGGCAGTAAAACAAGGAAGTCAATGATGAGTCAAAGATTAGGCCTACTTGGAGGAGGGAATTGCCACTAATTGAGAGGAGGAACACTACAGAGGGAACATATTTTATAAAGGATTATCTAGAACTCAGTTTCAATACACAAAATTTAAGAAGCTTTCTAAACATCTGAGTGGAACTGTCCAGTGTAGGTTTGACTGTACAAGTCTGCAGTTCATGAGAAGAGATAGCCAGGCTGGAAATATTTAATTTCTTTGTGTTTCCATTTTCTTACAAAAACAATGAGAATAATGGCATCTATTTCACTGGACTGTTGAGTGCCTGACAATAGCTAATTCTCAGTAGATCAGGAAGAGACTATTTAGTGAATTGATTTAGTTGAATTAAATCAACCTAAGAATGAATAATGATTTAAGGAGATGTATTTGATTATATACTGTTATTTTTTCCAACCATTCTTACTCCCGCCTCTTTTTAAAATTTGTTTATATCAATATGCATGCTATCATTTCTTCATGGAATATACAAACTCCAATTATGAAGCTATTTGATTTTATGTTAAATTAAATAGTAATCAGAATTTTAGCTGGCATAAGCAAGGTGCTCTTTCGGCATTTAAAAAAATGAAGCTGCTCTGATGGAGAGTAAAAATCAATAACAAGATGTTATTTTGGAAGCATATAGAGTAATTTCTCATCATTCAAGTTTGAATCTAATAACTTGAAAAAAATAATTAATTTGCATTTATAATAATATATAAAAGAAAGACAGTATCAAATATAAAGGAAACCATGTCTATTAAATTATTCAACAGATATCTCAATATGGAATTAGTTCTCTATTTTGGAATAAATGTCCAAATGCAACTTTATTCTCTCACAGACTCTGTTCTCTTTAATAATTAGTAATTGATCATCTAAGATGAGGACATAATAGGAACTGAGAATGCTACTCCAGCTCAGGAACTCCCAGAGTAGAGGCTCAGCACACCACCTTCACTACCAGGTTGATGGAGGTACCCGAGAGAGAGCATAAGACCTTTTTTTGGATTTTATTATATTATTATGACTATTATTTTATACATTCAATCATTACACATCACTGAGCTTGTAGAGAGAATTTACTCAACCTGAAATACACCTCAGACAAGTCCAGTTGAGAGTATTATACACAATATCATCAACAGGTAGTAAACCATTTTTGTGTCCCACAGATGGACAGTATAAGACTTCTTAAGAAAGTCTGTAAAGAACCATCTTAGCTTTCCTTTAAGGAAGCTATCTTTGACACACAAGAAATTTGTATATTTCTCTAGAATATTATTAGAAACAAGATAACACATTCCCCAAAATGCTATGAGAAATATTTGCTCATATAATGTCCATTCCCTCTATTAGTGAAATAAATGTGTATTATATATATTTGGTCTTTATGAACAAATCATATAATTGCCAATATTCTAAGGATGCTCCAAGAAATAACAATATCTTGCAAAGAAAGTTAGAAAGAAATGATCAGAATGAGTGTTTAGAAGATTTCAAAATCTTTAACAGTTATTCAGAAATAGCATGAAAGATGAAAAAAGGAACTATGAAGACATTCAAAATATGAAAGTATGATGATCCGAAGAAATAATAAAAGGAAAAATTAGCCGATGTCTGAACCCTCAGTTTTTTTGTTTCTGATGTTTAACTCAAAGAATTTTTCTGAAAAATTATTCTACTACATCTTGAGTTTCTGCAATGCATTGTCTGCTCTAGTACTATAAAGCATATCCATCTGTACTCTACACATTGGTTATTACTTATTAAAACTAATACATTTGAAGATTATAATATATTAGTTGTAACTCATTAGCTAACTCATGAAACGAACAGCCAGAATTAGTTGTTAGGCAGAATGTTAATTGCACTTAATAAACGTTAGCTTAACCCTTTGACTGTTGCTAAATGTGCCACAGACATGGGTAAAGGCAATCGTATGTTGCCTATGACACGGCATATAGTTCTTAATTTCCCAGGGGTGACATTTCCCATGGAGACTGGCAGGAGAGCTTTCCTTCTCTCAAGAGCTTGTTTTAACACAGCTGTTGGAATCTGTAGTTTTGTTATATCGTGTCATGGTATTTCTACTTTTTTTTTTTTGGAGAGATTTTCACTGTAGGGCGCGTGCGCTTGCCAGACAGACAGAGAGAGACATAGAGACAGAAAGCGAGAAATCACCCCCCAGGGGGGATGGTCACGCCGCAATCCCTTCTCCTCTATTCTCCTCTCGGGATCTTGGGCACGCACGCACACGCGCCCGGCGTGAGTTCTAAGCCACCGGGTCCGGGACACGAACCGCGGTCGACTACGTGGGAGTCCAGCGACATAGCCATTACGCTAACTGCTGGTTCCCATGGTATTTCTACTTTTGAAGGAGGGTTGGACAATGGGTTGAATATGCAGGATCTTCAAAAAGGATATGGAAATGGTGAATTATGAATCTGTCTATTTCTTTGCACCAAAATAAACCCATACGTTAATTTCATTCTCCATGAACTATTTTAAGTCCTCTTATGTAAACCATAAATTACCATTTACACACTTGGAATGTTGGCCTTGATGTACAGTTACAAACACTTTAATGTTTAGAAGTTGGATAAAATTAGTCAATTTTATTTTAGTATGTCCAAAAGACAACAAAGAGATCAAAAATATACATTTTGGATATAAATAGTTGACTTTCATCTTTTCAAAATTTCTTTTGCATGGGTGATACCTATAAGAGGGCAAAGGTTTTCTTCAACTCTTGAATTGATTTAATTTTTCATTAAATTTTAGTCCATTCTAAACATTATTCAAAATTTTTAGATCTTCCACCACCACCAGATCCCCCACCAGGTCAGGGTTTAAGGCAGCACATAGGCCCAAGCCAGCATGCTGGTAATGCGGAAAACTCAACAGAAAGAAAAGGAAGCTCCCTAGAGAGACAACACGCACCCAACTTAGAAGACTCAAAGAGCACGTTGGATTGTCCAGCTAGAACCTCCCTAGAGTGGCAGCGACAAACCCAGGAATGGATAAACTCCACAGAACGCCAAGAAGACATACGGAAAGCCCCACACAAACAAGGTGTCGGATCAGGTGTGTTCTGCACGGTCCCAAGAGAGTGTGGACTATTATCATTTTTTTTCCTACCAGGTATTTTAGATATAGCAATTGTGTAAGGGCATCAGAAATACATTTCCCTTAAGTCAGTAGTCAAAGTTGGAATTCCTTAGCAGAGTTTACAACACATGCCGTGAGGCTGAATCCAGTGTGTATCATTCTTCTAGTTAACCTGTCAGTAGGACCCTTGAGCCCAAAAGACCTCCGAACTTCATCTGCGGTGCTCAGGAAACAATTTTATTTTTTATTTTTATTTTTTTAATTTTGGAGGAAGCGTGCACTTGCCAGAGAGATAGAGAAGGAAAGTGAAAATGCAGCCTTAGTGGGGCATGATCACACTATTATCCCTTCTCTTCCATTTCTCCCTCTTCTCCAGCTTTTGGCCATCCGTGCACCTGTGTCCTGTGTGTTTCTAAAGTCACCAGGTCAGGGATTTAAGCCACAAGGTCAGACATATGGGATCAAGTTCCCTTAACCATCAGGCCACAGACTGGCCCAACAATTTCATATTTTGATTTTTGATGTTTATTTTAACATTTTTTAAACTACTGATTCATCTTTTGTATCAGTTTAATCTCAGCCTTCAACCAGTGTGTTCGTTTTGACTGAAGTAATCAGTCATTTGAAAGAGGAAATCGCTTTAATCAAAAAGGTGAATTAATTGCAATTAAAAAGTCACAAATAAATGCCTAATCACGGAAGTCTCATGTTGAAAACAGTTAAACTGGGCCTGCACAGTCTCCAACTGATTAAACTTAGTTGACTTTTTTGTCTACAATGGGAAATGCTCTTATTTATAAATGAAGCTTCTTAAAAATATCATAAAATAAATTTCATTGTTTGTCATTGGATATTTTGGGGGATGATTAGGGGAAGAAAAGAGATCCTGTTATAGAAATGCATTTTCTTTAATACCTCTTCTCATGTAAAGACTCGTTGAATATTGAAATATACACATACACATACATTTAACTTTTGAAAAAATTTCTTACTCATTCACTCATTTGAACTCAATCTTCTCTAGGATTAGGTTCCCTTAACCATCCTCTCCTTATGCATTTTTCATAATTATTTTGTCACAACATGGTGCTTGATTTTTTGGAAAATGTGATTTATGCAAGAGCCAAAGATGACAACATCAATATCCAGATTTAGTGAAACATTCAGGAATGTTATATTATTCAAGCTGTGAGATTAAAAAAATAATAACGTGATCCTTGTCATTAGGGATTATCTAAACAGAGAAATAGTAAATCTAGTCAGCAGGTTTTTTTTATTCATCTAGCAGCCTATACCTAAAAAGAAAAAAATAAAAATAAAAAGGTGAGGAGGATGGGAAGGTAGTGAGAAAAAGATGAAAAAGAACGAGAAAGAAAAACATGTTTCAAAGTATAAAGTATTTTTTTAGAAATGTCATCATGAGTTATTTGTAGAGAGAAAATGTATATAAAAATAATAGCACATTATTTATTAAAATGTGTGGGATTTTCTTTTTCTTTTAGGAAAAAATACAGTCTTTCAAATCATGTATTTTTCTAATTAAGAAACAACAGAAGTTTTAAGAGCTTATTAATTAGCTAATTAGAGTGCCTTATCTAAATTGATTGAGAAAATGTTGCCAATATTTAAACTAAAGCATAACCATTTTTCTTCTATCTTGATGGGAAAATTAAATTGAAACCTCACTGAACTCTAGAAATCACTCTCAGATATTTTGTTCCATAAACTATGGTTCATTGTATGCGGCACTCTTCTATAATAAATTTAAATTTTGCAAATAATACATAACATTGTATACTTATCCCAAGATCTCATTTCATTCAGTTCCTATTGAATGAAACTTCATTATTTAATTTTCCTAAAGAATGAACTAGTAAAATAGCTCATCCTGAGCTTAATATTTGAAAGTTAAGTTTGTGTTTTGAGCCTTTGCCGCTGTCCAACTTTGCCTTTTGCATTTTTTTTTTTTTCTTTTTCAGAGGAAGCCTTGGTGCCATATAGCAAGCCCAGTTTCCCATCTCCAGGTGGCCACAGCTCTTCGGGAACAGCTTCTTCAAAAGGATCCACTGGACCTAGGAAAGCAGAAGTGCTGAGGGGAGGCCACCAGCGTAATGCCAGCGACCTCCTTGACATAGGATATATGGGCTCAAATAGTCAAGGACAGTTTACAGGTGAATTATGTAAGTGTTTTAGGTCATTTAAAAGGCTATGAAGAGGGGCAAACTGGTCGCTTGGTGGTTAAGGCACTGGACTCCCACATGGCTGACTGTAATTCAAGTCTGAACCTGGCAGCTTGAAATTCACACTGGTTGCATGTGCGTTCAGGCTTGCCCAAAATCTCAGGAGGAGAAATCAAAAAGGGATTGTGGTATAGCTATCCTCCTTGGGAGGTAGGGGAGGGGATATCTCACTTTTCTCTCTCATTGTTTCTTTCTGTCTCTCTCTGGTGAGTGAAGGCACCCTATGGCAAAGCACCGCCCCCCATGTCCCACCAAAGCCTATCATGATGCAGAAAGTATATTAGGCTAATAGCATTGCTATTTGTTTAAGTTTATTTATTATCATGAGAGAGAAATACAAGAGAAGAGTCAGGCACCACCCTCCCTCCCCCCACCTCACCTCCCCCAAAAAAGAGCTCTTCAAGCTACAATCTGATTCCATTCTGAACCAGCCCAAATCATCGGCCTACGTCCTGGGACACGGACCCTGGACTACTCCCATGTGTGTCTAGTTGAATCACTGCTGTGCTACCAACTGGCCCTAGTAACAGTTGTAAACAGTAATATGTTTAAATGTGCCATATTAAACACATTTTAGAATAATATAATAGGAAACTTGCTCTATTATGAGAAAAAAATGTATTATACCTTTGAACTGCTTTGGTCATAAGTAAGACTGTAGCTGTTTCAGCAGTCAATGAAATAGACATTTCTGCTATTTCAAGTGCAATTTATTCTCTAAAAAACTATTTTACTGTGGCCAGAAGATACCATGATGGTTAAGGTGCTGGACTCTCACATGGCCAACCATAGCCCAAGTACTGGACCTGCTGGCTTGTAGATCACGCCGGGCACATGTAGATATGTATGTAAATCCCAGGAGGAGCATGGAGGAGAAGGGATTGTGGTGTGGCTATCTTTCTTGAGGGGATGGTTTCTCATTGTGTCTCTCTGGAAAGTACCCTATGGCAAAAACCTTAAAAAAAAATGTAAGTAATTAGTTTTAATATTTACAAGTTAAATTAAATATAGGCCATTCAGTAGTTTGCTTTGCCTTTTACATTATTTTTAGTTTTTGTTATAGGGCGTGCACACTCTCCAGAGAGAGATAGAAGAGACAAAGACTGTGAGAGAGAAAGTGAGAACTCACCCTCTAAGGAGACGGCCATGCCACAATCCCTTCTCCTCCATGCGCCTTTTGGGATTTGGGGTATGCACGCACACATTCCCAGTGTGTTTCTCAAGCTATGGGGTCTGGAACTTAACTACCCAGTCAGCCATGTCGATCCAATGCCTTATCCACCATGCCACAAGCTGGCCCTGCTTTGCCTTTTCACCTGAGTACAATAAAAGGGAACATGTTGACTTTTGGGTAGTTTTAAAGAGTTTAGAAGTCCTCATTCTCAAGTTGCTCTTTATTTACGTCTTTTTGAAATATGGGGAGTCAGGGTCAAATCCATAGTGCAGGGTAGGAAATTGGATCCTACATGGCCAAATGTGGGTTGAATCCTGTCCCCATCAGCTTGAAAAACACACCAGGAATGTGTGTGTGTGTGTGTGTGTGTGTGTGTGTGTGTCTGTTTGCCAAAATTCTAGTTGGAAGGAGAAATGGAGGAACAAGGATTGTGGCGTGACCATGGTCCGTCAGGTGTTGCTTTCTCTCTGTCTCTCTACTACTACTTTGGAAGGTATGTTCTCTCTATTTCCATCTCTAATGAGTATTTTTGCCTTCTAGTAATAAAAAAGAAAAGAAATATGGAGAAGCAACCTTGAAAAGTTCATCTTTTTTTTTTAGTTAATTTTTAATATTTTGATTATAGTAACTTATCAATAAATTCCTTTTTTGAACAACAAAGTAGCACAACTAATCAGTTTTCTAAATATAAAATACCAGATAATAGAGGAAAATAAGATTGTTACAGTATGTCCCAGTAAAAAACACTGACCTTGTTATTTTAATTTTGCCATGAAATTTACCAATCTCCTGTCTAATATAAAAATTACACTTTATGTATATTTTCATCAGCCTTTTAAAATTGAACTTAAAAATATTACCCAGAGGGATCAGTGGGCTCTAATATTCTCAACCATTTAATTGGTTATATAATATAAGAAAGTAAACTTCCTAATCTCTCTATATCTCCATATAAAAAAATAAGATTCCTGTTTCACTCACATCCTAGACTATATAGGGGATTCCATGAAATAATGAAAAGGTAAAATACTTTAAAACTACAAAGCTCTTTACTGGTTTGAGTTATATTTTTGCATATTGCTGACCCAATTGTTACTAAGATATGTTTCTATTTCAATTTATGACTACTTGGATTTTCCCTTGACTTTTATTTTTAAAATATTATAGACTCACAAGCAGTGCAAAAATATTTCTACTCAGATTTTGGTCTTCAAACTCTACAGGGTTTCTTTTCCTTTTCCTGCTTTTCTCCTTCAAGTAAAATTACTTTTTTTTTTCTTTCTTTTTCATGAGAGAAAACAAGAGAGAGAGAGAGTACAAGAGTAGGATGAAGAGAGAGGGAGAGAGGCATAAAGATAGTTATTTTTGAGAGAGTCTTACCATGTCTTACAGCATGGTCCTGCTGTCTAAGCTTCCCAGGTAGCTAGGAGCGCAGGCAGGCACCTCCACAGCCAACCTGCTGGAATTTGGGCCAGAGAGTGAAGATAGGCCCCCCCATGGGCCTCAGCACCTGTGCAGCAGTGCCCTCCCACTCATGGCACCAGGGCTGGACAAAGGGATAACTGGAAGTTATGAAATCTGTAGGATGACCTTACTCATCCACACCATCTATCCGATGGCCTTATCTTCACCTATTACCTTATTACTTTGTTTTTTGTTGTTGTTTGTTTTTGTTGTTGTTGTTGTTATACTACCCAGGTTAAAATACTCAATTTACCCACAAACTTTATTTCTGATTTTTTTCTTTTTCTTTTTTACCTCTTTAGAGTAACTGAGAGGAGACATACAAAGCTGCTCTGAAGGATCATCAGGTCCGAACTCATGGAAGTGATGACACTAAACAGTGCAATGGACAATTTCTTTATTTATGTACTATTGAAAGAACTGTAAATGCAATGTAAAGACACACAGCCACACATATCCCACAGATATTTTACTTGTGTTCTTCTCTTAAGTACACCACCCACCTTAACTCTTTCTTGTCAGGAGTATATTAAAAAAAAAATGAAAAAGAAAGAAAACAAAAATCTCCCTCCAGGAAGAAAAAGATTTTCCTCTGTATATAATTTCTTTTGTGCATTGCTATGCAAGCTCACTCTTTTTAGCTCTGTTCATATTATTGTCTGTTCTTATTGGTCTGTTGTACTATATGTGAATTAATAGGCTGTGGTGCCATATATTAACTTTTAATTGTGTAACTTTTATGTTTAAATTTTGCACTGCAATTTTATTTGGTGATAAGCACAAATCTCTACTCCTCATGACATGAAGAAAAAGACTGAATGTGAAGGGAGTTTCTGTACTGTAAGCTAGGTTGGATAATTCTGGTAATAGCCAGTCATGTTAGATGGTTTTCAGTTGGGGTGTAGAAATAGGAAGATGCGATGGTGTTAGTAAAGTCTTCTTTGAACATCAGGGACTGAGTCAATATAAAGAAAGCAGAAAGGTGGCTTTTATTATTGACAAAAGCAGGGGTCACAAGAAAGAAGTTTGTCTTAAGATTGAATATGCATTAAAATAAACAGGTAGCAGATATGTACTAAAATTGCTAAAAACAATGAAAGTTTTATTTAGAATCAATTTTAACTATTCAACTGTGATTGTAATTGACCCATCAGAGAATTACAATAAGCAAAAAGAAATTAAGTAAGGTATTTCCTAAGAGCTTTTCACTAAAGATTTTTAACAAAAGCATTTTCTAAATTACCATAATTAATCTTTCCAATTTATTAAGTCAGAATATAACATGAATTAACCCAAGGAAACAAACAAAACGAACACACTAATATCTAGCAAATAGTTAAAGAAGCAATTTGTTATTAGGACATACTCGGGCTGCTTCAAAGCTATATTGCAGTATCTTGTTTCATCTTTCTAATACATGTACAGTACATGCTAGAGGATAGAGCTGCATCACTTAAATTCATGATCTTTATGAAATAATGCAGTCTATATACATTTTCTGTTTTATTTGGTTACAAAGTAAAGTGGATGCCACCAAACGTATAGCCAAATTGTAAGTGCTTAAAAGGCAGTGCTCTGAGTATGTTCAGTTCACAGTAAGTAGATTTATTGGAATAAATATTTTATGGTACAGTCTCAGAAATTGGCTACCAACTAAAATATGTTTGACCCATTTTGAATGAGTAAATTGAAAAGAAAGCTTAAAAAGAGAAAAATGCATGTTTATACACTTTTAAAATAAAACCAAACCTTGTAAGTGGACATTAATGACAGTGTCCTGCCTCATTTGTTTTCACAATTTGCAGGAGTTCCTGAACATCAGTCATGTATGCTGAAAAGAAATAGGACTTTTATATATATGTTAGCTACTGTACATGTATAGTCAGTCGAGTAGAAGAGAACGTTCCTGAAATTTTCACCTGTGACATTCTCCCATGTGCTTCCTACCCTATCCTAAATTCTATTTCTATCTGTACTTTCTCATTTATTTCCTGTGATGGCTTGAGTAGTTGGTACTTCAAAAATTATTCAGTGTCATGGTCAAGGTCAGTTCTTAAATATGGGACCCCTTTGAATGATAGCTCATATGGCATGCATTATTGGCTCAGTCTCCAATTGATGTCATGTGGTTATAGCCAAGGATTGACAATAATTAAATCTTCCCACCTTTTTTATTCTCTAAGACTGCATCAGCACAGGCAAGTATAGGATGTAATGTCTTTGTGGGCCCCAACATCCTGGTGCCGCGTAGTTCATTTCTTCTCTGAAGAGCAGAAGAATTCTGAGACACACTCATTAACCCTTTAGCAATGTTTGACCATCAGTGCCTGAATTTTAATGCAGTTTGATTATTCTAGGACAAAGAGGCTGGGGAAGGGAGAAAGTTTCTGCAAAGAATGAATACATACGTATTTACAACTCAAGGATGAAGGGTATTTCCATTTTTGTTCAGGTAGTTTCCTATTTCACTTCTTTCTGTTTAAAAGCAAACACATTTCCAAGAGTTTCATTCATTTGTGCTCCTTTTACGCTCCTCTGTGACCCAATTTAGTCTAAAACTTGAGTTTATTACACCTAATTTGAACTGCTGTTTATGGACAGGTGAAAGTGATTACGAATGAAGTGTATGCATGCAGATGACCTATGGAGTATGACGGGGTACAGCATCATAGCTTCTTGATTGTCTTCAGTACGTACATAAAAATTAAATGCTCCAGTTAGATTATGTTAGTGAAGACCCTGTGACTACTTGGAATTTTCTTTTAGTTTATTCATGTTGCCTCTAAAATCTAGTTTAAAATAAATTGTTCAGTCAAAACTTTACCAACAATATCACCCTCACACAGGCAGAGGGCAAGATAAAATGTTGTGACTATATGAATGAATTCAGCAACATTATCAAAAAAGGAGACTTCATTAACTTGCTATATGTAAAAAGCTACTAATCAGTATATAGGAAAATATAAACATGTGTGAGAGCCACCATGTTTTTTTTCCATTTTGTAACTGATTAAATGAATGTGAGTAGAAATTCAATTAGCTCCCTCTTTTGCAGATTTAAACAGAGGCCTCATAAGCCATCAGAAGGAAATATGGGTAGGAGAGAATGTAGTCTTATCTTGCACTCATAGGCAACACTGCAGTGCAGTCCTGTCAGACACAAACAGCTTCATTCAAACAGGCAAAGTCTCCTTTGGGAACATGGCCATATCAGTGCCCAAACTCAGGTATGCCAGTGTATATAGGTGGAGTCAGCCTACCCATTCTCCAGATCCTTTCCATGGTACATTTAAAATAAGGCAGGATAGCATAAGGACATGAAAATAACTGATTTCTTCACAGAATTTGAATCCAATTCAAGGGAGAATATAGGAAAATCAAGACCAGCATGTAAGGTATCACGTAACCAAAGGGAAGTAAAACCAATGCAAGTTTACTTGCTTGGAGTAACAGAAATGATTTATTGGCATTCTATGTCATAGTTTAATGCTCTGGGTATTTACGTATTTTTTTCAATGAGATTTGAGTTGAAAGTTAGTATGCGCTTTGGTGAACACTTTCCAATTTCTGTTCAATGGATTTATGTCATTGTCCATTGACAATATAATGACAATACCAATGAATGAGCTCTAAACTGTGGTGTATCTTCTCCACTGGGAAGTGATTGTGCATCAGTATTAAAGATATGCAGAACTATAACATTCACAGATTTGTTCATCTACTTCTGTATATTGTATTAATAGAATTACATGACAAGAATTGGTGTGAACATGTCTTTCCACACTATCTTAGAGGTGAAGTTACTTTTATTTTGCTTCTCTATAACGTGCATTTCAAATGAAACACCACACTTCTTTTTATATGACATTCAGTTTACTGATTTTTTTAAATCTCATAATTTCAAAAGCATTTATTGTGACTTTAAAGTGTTGCAAGATAAGGGATTTTGTGGCCGTGGGTAGACTTTTTATACTTTGTTTTATAGATAGATTTTTTTCATTGTAGTTTGTTTAAGTCACCAAACAGCGTCCAAAATCTTAATGTGTCTCATTTGATGTTGTTAGATCAGAAAAAAAAAAAAAGAAAAAAAATTGACATAAAACTGGTTAATAGTATTGTCAAAGAATTGTGTATTGTGTACTCACTGGGAAAAAAATAAAATATATTCACATTTCAAATTTGTAAAACAGCCATTTATGTAAAACAAACTTGCTTATGGACAACTCAGAAGAACATTTCTACCCTGTCACTTAGAACTTCACATTAATTTATTACAACAAATGCAAAATCTTATTTTCTAATTCAGTTATGGGTATGATAAATAATACTTGTCATTGACTTACAGTAGTGACTGAAAAACACCAATGAAGAATGTAACTAGCATTTGACATTATAGACTCCATTCTAGTGGCATTTCTTTTCATAACTTTTTCCTTCCCGTACCGGAAAATTTTTAGGTAGACAAAATACAAACCATTTTTCTTATACAAAATCACTTAATATATAATTTTTGAAAGTACAATTAAATAAAATAATTGGAAGAAAGTGGGTATTTCTTGACTGCTTGGAAACAACTAGTAATAAATTCCTTTTAAAATTTTGAATGTTGAGGCACAGTAATGAAGGGAGCCCATTCTCCCACGGCTGACCACCTCATTCAGTTCTCAGCCGGACAATTAGACAAACACAGTGGGCACATGTGCATAGATACCCAAAATCCTATCTGGCTGAAGAAATGGAGGAGAAGGGATTATAGCGTGACCATACCCCACTGGAGGGGTGCTTTCTCCCTTTCTCTTTCTCTGGTAAGCACACAAACCCTCTGAAGATAAAAAAAAAAAAAAAAAAAATTAGGTGTTGAAATGCTATCAGTGTCTGGGTAAAATAGAAAAATGTTCTACTGTGTTATACTTCATAAATATTTCATTCTTTTTACTATAAAGTATACCTACATGTTCAAATTATCTCCCAAAATGAAAATAAGTAGTTTCTACATTTTTATAAATAATAATAGCATAAAAATAGAAGAACATTGTTTAATCCTGAAACATTCATTTAAAAATATTTTTGAAAACACATAGAAGATGGACATTTCAGTTTCAATTAATTTAGGTTAATAATAGAGAATAAAATAGAGTAATGTAAATCCTGTTGCATTAATATAACATAGCAGCAATACATAGTACTTGTTACTAACAAATCCATCAGTTACCAACAAGATAAATTGCAGAACAATTAAAAAACAGCCAACAATTTATGGAATTTGTGGGTACCATGGAAACACATACACATCACAAAAGTGCAAAAAATTACAAAGGTTTATTAAAATACCACACTAACTTTTCTTGATTATAGTGTGTGTTATTAGCTAGAGAAAAGATATATCTATGTTGTGGGTAAGCATTTAACAAGAAATAATATTTAATATACTTAATTTGTGAAAAATACTTGTTTTCTGCAGTCTGCAGTAAAGTTCTGCAGAGAAGAGCAGATAAAGTTCTTTCTAAACATCATTTCAAAATGGGAAGTATGAAATAAAACTTTACAGTAACAGAATGTCATGTTTTAAGAATACAAAGAGAAGCAGAAAAGCTAGCTAGGAGGGAAGACAGCATTCTGTCTCCCAAAGTTTTTAAGGACTCTTTGACCTTGATAAATTTAGTGCAGTCTCAATATTGGCCTTCAGCTTCATAGGCACAGAGAAAGAATTTGATACATGAAAGTGTCACAAAGCTGTCAAGCATCCCAGAGATAGATGCAAGACAATTGTAAGACTCTGTTTAATTTATGAAGAACAACAAAGGTGACTTGCCTTTGCATCTTCTACTCAACACGATTAGATACCTAAGAAATATATATGTGTATGCGTATACATATATATACACACACAGATACTTTAGTAATCAAACTACATTTGTAAATTCAAATACAATAACCTTGGCTGAGGTCAAGGACTATAATGGAATTTTGCAGGCCATTATGCCTGTTTCTAATCCATAGCACTGTAACATCTTTGGCCTATAAAATACCTAGATGGGAAACATTCTCTAGGTAGCAAACAATGATTTTTAGACAATTTTAAAGCATTTGTTTTCTGGACATTTCTGATTAATTTGTTTATGACAAACCTGTTTTCTAGTTTGCTATTCATTCCCCTTGTAAGCACATATTAAGACACTCTGCTAAGAATTAAATATTTAGAGTAGTTAAACAGAAGTAACTTGCATTCATAACTAGATTAATATCTTTTATTAAGTCTTGTCCTGATTTTTAGGAATGTACCTTTCTGATGAATGTTTCTAAAATAAGGGAAAGACTGAAACT